TCCTCCTCTGACCATTCATGCAGAGGGAAGCAGAACTAGGGAGAGGCCCAAGAGCCATGGAGGAACTAAAGCCTGTCAATAACCATGTGAATGAGCTTGGAAGAAGATTCCCGCTGTAGTTGGGCCTTCGCGTGAGACTGCAGCTCTGGACGACAGCTTGACTGTAATTCATGACAGATCTTGAGCCACAGGCACAAGACCTATGCCCAGATTCCTGACCCATAGAAACTGTGAGATGATACGTGTTGTTTTGCGGTTATTCATTATATAGCAACAGATAACTAATATACTGTGAGATTTTTATACAGTCATGAACCACTTAATGACATTTAAGTCAACGATGGACCACATACACAATTTTGGTCCCAGAAGATTATAATGGAGCTGAAAAGTTCCTATTGCCTAGTGATGCAGCAGTCACAATGTCATAGTATAATGCATTACTTACATATTTGTGGTGATGCTGGTTTAAACAAACCTGCTGTGTTGCCAGTCATATAATAGTATGCTGCATACAATTACAGTAGTAGGATATACCACCTAGGTTTGTGTAAGTCACTGTATGATGTCTGCACAATGATGAAAGTGCCTTATGACACATTTCTCAGAATGTATCCCTGTTGTTAAGTGGCGTATGACTATATTAAATCAGCTGTAATTTGAGCTAAAACTAACTAATGTAACAAAATGGGACAATGAATTCAATTATTAGCTTCCAGATTTTCTAATTTATTTTTGTCTCTTATATACCCTTACCCCCCAAGTAAGCACAACATTAAGGTAAAGGTTTATTCTTTTGTTTTAATTGAAATTATTATTGAGATCATTAGAGAGTCATATGCAGTTTTAAGAAATGAAACAGAGATCCCTTGTATACTTTGCTCAGTTTCTCCATTGGTAACATTTCATAAAACTACATTATAATATCACAACCAGAATACTGTACATATTTGTGTGTGTATAAATTGCTTACATACCTTTTACTTTACTATTCTCCCATACTCAGATCACATCCCTTTGGAATTAAAATCTAGACATTACATTATTCTTTATAAATGTTCTTTCTGAAGGTAAAAGTTAAGAGGCATGAATTCATAGCTCCATATTAATAAACTAAAAAATAGAGTCAATAACAGAAAGTAATAAAAACAGCTTATAGATTATGTAATTGTCAAAGGAAAATTCACTTACCCTGAGTTTTTTTGAAAGCAAACTATAAAGTAAAATGTTACCCTTCCCCCAGAATTAATGTTTGTACTTGAAATTCAGATGTGAAATAATATTAAGTGCAGTTAAAATTTTAATACTGCCTCTTTTTCCTCTTATGAGAGAAGTGAGAAGTTAATATTATTTCTATGACAATGCCTCAGGAAATCAATATAACCAAGATTTTATTTTATCAGCAGGCAGTGTTAAAATTCATAATTAAATATCTAAACACAAACAGCCAAGGAAAACGTCAAGCTGATTATGAACCATGCAAAGTCAAATACTTTTGCATAAAAGATAAATCTTAGAGGAAAACAAAGGGATACCTACTTTCTGCTGCTAGAAGTCCTACGAGGAAGGCAGCATATGGACAAACAACAAATAGTATGATTTTAGAGCAAGCAGGTTATCAAGCCACAGTTGGGCCCAGTAGATGAGCCACAAGAAGCACAGTCCCCGGCTGAGCCCAAAGTGAGCCCCTGTGTTCCATGAGCACATTCACTGGGACTGAGGATTTCAGTCATCCAAACACTGGGTTCTGATTCTGACTTCTTTGATGTGAAATATGAGAACAGAACATTTCCACTTTGGATTATTAAATAACAAAGCAACTATATACTGTTTATCAGAAGATTAAACAACAAATTCTAGTGAATGTATTAATGAAGTAATTTTAATCCAAATAGAAGAGAATCTCATATTAAAATTGTTTACAATGTAAACAGCATATATAAACACGTTAGACTCTTCTTTAGATGATAAATTGGGAAGCTGATTCATTTTAAATTTGTGATTTTTAAATAGAATTTTGGGGGGACCAAAATAGGACTGTCAGCTTTTAATTTTGCCAAACAGATCATCAAAAAAAATCTAACTACCTATCATTTATTATCATTTCATAGAAAGAATAGAAAAGGCGTTATGTAAAGATGAAAAGCAGTTCCTCTCAAGAAAGGGCAGTTGGTGACCTTACACTGTTCTCTCTAACCCCTCCTTCCCTGCCCTCTCACCCCACCCTACAAGCATATGATCTATGATCATTTTTTTCTTTTTGCCATGAACTTGGAAGAACTTTTAGGTGCTTTGTGTTTTGTACTATAAAACAAACCCATGAAAATTTAAACAGAAAGAGCGGAAAGGATAACATTGGGAACTTAAAATAAATGGTGCAGAATTTAAGGCACAGAATTAAACACAGAACTTAGTTTGAAAATTGATGAAAATATTAAAAAATAAAAATGAGTTAATTTATGAAAGTGTAAAGCTCTTACATGAATCCAGATAGTTTTTTGTAACCACCCACACAACCATTGGTTGCAGAAAAGGAAACTTGCTGGAAGATAGCTATCAATAAATGATGCTGATAAAACAGTAAAATGCCTCCCTTTAAACGGTTTAGTTTTAAAAATTAATTTTAGGAACATACGAATAGTTTCTGATAGCGATGGCAAAGTTAGGAAAATATTATAATTTTCTTCAAATTTCTTCTTTGTCTTTGATTTCTAAGTATATAAAAATTTCCTCTTCATTTAGGGTAGGTGATTAGACATGTACACTGTACAATAATTCTTCTATCTTTTATTTGCAGCACCTGGACAGTGCTATTTAAAAATATTTTAAAGACAGACATTTAGCACATCAAATGAAGTTATAGACTGCTTTCGAGATCATTAAGATCTAGAAATTAAAAAAACAAAACAAAACACAAAAAAGTAATAGGGTGTGACCGCAGGAAAGGGAAGAAGAAATGCAAAACTGGGAACAACAAATGCAAGTGACAGGGCCGGCAGGCTACTGCAAGACAATGTAAAAAATTTCATTTTTGTTTAAAAAGCAAGTACTATAGTCAGAAGCTATTTCAACCACATCCTTTAGAGACTGCACTAAAAAACAGAAAACATTGGGCAATAAAAATGTACTTAAATAAAAATAAGCATGTCTATAACTAAAGACAATCCCTTTCCCTAAAAGAAAAACCCAACTTTTTCACAAACAGGATATTTAAGAGTTCATTATACCCTTATTAGGCAAAGTAAATATTAAGGGTATGCATTAAAGATCAGGTCTGTGAAGCCATTGCAAGGATCACACTGCTCTGTAGGTCTATTTCTAAAGATGAAAGTGGTATTAAAAGATTCTGATCTAAAATCTCTAAATATATCCTAAGTATGTGACTATGTCATGTAGTCACACCACAACATAAAACCATCACTGTTTCCACTCCCCAGACCCTGGGTCAGCTATAATTTGAGTGTGAGGAGAAAAGAAAGAGATTCTGAGCGAAGGAAGAACAAAAAGCTACAGGTGAAGAGAACGAACAGACTGATAGGCAACAATAGGGGCCATGGGGGAACGTACCTATAAACACAAGTAGGGCCTTGCCTTTCATGTGGGAAGGGCTCTGGGCAGTTACCAAGTCAGAATAAGAGGAAAAGAGCAACACCTTCTCAGAGTCTCTTCTCGAGGATTCCCATTTCTCAACATTTTTGGAAATCACCTTCACTCAGAAGAGGAAGGTTCACATCCCAGTTGGTAAGTCAAAATGAGGAACTACAGCCTGGGGCAAAAGTAGGTTTAGAGTTGTTCATATGGAAAATAATACAATAATTAATAAATAATATTACAAGAATAAATTCTGTTTCGGGTACTCACAACTATAAATATACTTTTGCCCCACCTTGTACATAGCTGTTGGAATGGGAACCTTGATCCTGTTATTCTGTACAAGGTAGAAGCATGTGAGTGTGTGTGTGCCCATGCATATATAAACAGAGGAAGGAAGTACAAATACTGACCAATGCTCATGGTTTCGACAGGAAAGATGCATTAGCACATCCGTTCTTTATATTGCTAATTGTGAAGGATAAACAATTAACTCATGCTTTAGGAAGGGCCCTGGGCCTTGAATTCAATGTTAACACATGCATATTGGATGAGCCAGTTCAAGAGTACAAAACTCAAATCAACAGTGCAAAGTCAACCACATGGCAAACACTGAGGGACTTTAATGACAGAAGAAAAGCCGAGGGCAGAGGATATATGATGCAGGAGTGAAATTAATAAAGAAATACTTAAACACATTAAAAAAATATCACACACATGCATTTACATATATGCATATAAGGATCTCATAGATTTTTATTAATGATACTAGAGAATATCTCACTGGAAAGATGAAAATCTGAGCATTTTATAATATAATTTTGTGAACACTGGTGGGTTTTTCAGGAATGCCTATACGCATTTCATCAAAATAGGTAACTCTTCTATGTTCTTCTCCCTTGAATGCTCATATATATGTGTTGTAGACTTTGTAAAAGAGATGAACCTATAAATTGTTCCAAGAGATAACTCACAAGACAACTTTACATTGAAAGATTCAATTAAAAGCAGTGTTGTCCCAAAGTCTGCGCTGCTAATCTTACATAAAAACTTTTTATTGAGGTAGAAGGTAATCAGAAAGATCCAAAAAGAGGGACCACGATGTTGGACTGGATGTCAGATTGGATGAAGTGCGACATTGGGTCTGGAGTGGGGAAAGGGGAAGAAGTAGCTCTGAGGTGAAAAGAAAAGTGAAACGTTGGTTTTGGAGCAGTAGGGGGACAGCAACTCTGGCATTAAAATTAAAAGGAACCAGACACACGTGGATGGTATTTGGTTTCTGACAAACTTCCTTAGAATTGCTTGGAGGATCTGACTAGATTCCCAGAAAAAGGTTTATTCAGAATGGAAGAGAAAGGATGTAGACATCAAATAATTCATACTGGTGAATGAACGAATGATCCAATTACCTGAGGAGGTAGGGTCTTCGGAGAAATCTGGCAACTCTTCAGGGGGATCCCCATAGAATGAGTTGAATTTGTGACTTGACACAGCTGCTAGTACTGCACCCTAGAACAAAGAGGTGAAAAAAATATTAAAACAAATACATGAATATGAAAAAGTTAATTAACAAATGGTTATTTAAAGATTATTCAGGAAGTCAAATATATAGAAGATGACAGCTGGAAAAGGGATAGCTTTTGAATAATTTTTGATTCTTTCAAATCAATTACATATGCACATACCAGATTAACTCTGCTGGGGATTGTAAAAGTATATGCAACTATTTACATCTTGAACTCCAACACATACCACAAATGGAATATAAAATGATGCTGCAGAAGAATGTCTAGTGAAACAGAAAGATGCTTGCGATGAATAAAAAACTTTTATAACAATCTACAGGATGATCTCATTTTTGAAAAAAAAAAAAAAAGGTTAATATAATATAGATATGAGACTGAACATAAACCAAAATGTTATTAGTAATAATTATCTCTGGTTAGTAGGAATACATGTCATTTTTATTTTTGTAAGCTCCCCCCTCCACCCTGCTTTCCTTTTGTTGTTAACAATGACTATGTGTTACTCTTGTACAGTGGTTCTCCACCTGCGGGTTGCGACCCCTTTGGGGGTCAAACGACCCTTTCACAGGGGTCACTTAAGACCATCGGAAAACACATATTTCCGATGGCGATTCATAACAGTAGCAAAATTACAGTTATGAAGTATCAATGAAAATAATTTTATGGTTGGGGGTCACCACAACATGAGGAACTGTATTAAAGGGTCACGGCATTAGGAAGGTTGAGAACCACTGCTCTTGTATATTATTTCTCAATTAGGCCACATGGAATAATCAACTACATGTGACTTTTATTTTTTAAATTTCTTTTTATCCTCACCCGAGGACATTTTTGCATTTATCTTCAGATAGAGTGGGAGGGAGAGAGGGAGGAAGAGAGAGAAACATCAATGTGAGAGAGACACTGAGTGGCTGCCACCCACATCATCCCAACCGGGGTGGGGATAAACTGCAACTGAGGTACATGCCCTTAGCCGGAACGAAACCCGGGTCTCTCTGGTCCGTGGGCTGATGCTCTAACTGCTGAGCCAAACCAGCCAGGGCATAACTTTTATTTTTTTAAAAATCCTCACCTGAGGATATTTTCCCATTTTATCTTCAGATAGAGTGGGAGGGGAGAGAGAGAGAGAGAGAGAGAGGGAGAGAGAGAGAAACATCGAAGTGAGAGATCGATTGGCTGCCTCTCACAGGACCACAACCAAAGGCCAGGGACCAAACTGCAACCAAGATATATGCTCTTGACTGGAATCGAACCCGAGACTCTTTGGTCCATGGGCTTATGCTTTAACTGCTGAGCCAAACTGGCCAGGGCTACATGTGACTCTTTTATTTTTTTTATCGTCACCCTAGGACATTTTTCCATTTTTTGTTCAGATAGAGTAGGAGGGAGAGAGAGGAAGAGAGAGAGAGAAACATCGACGTGAAAGGGACACACTGGGTGGCTGCCACCTGCACAACTAACCAGGGCCGGGGACAAACTGCAACCGAGGTACATGCCCTTAGCGGGAACTGAACCCGGGTCTCTGGACCGCAGGCTGATGCTCCAACCGCTGAACCAAACTAGTCAGGGCTCTTTTAAACCACATTCATAGCCTCTCCTGATTCCTAGATGAGTCATATTGAGTACATGATATCCCTTAGGACTGTTGGGTGGAAAATGGCTGGGAATTATTGTTTCAGTAACAAGAAAAAGCATAAAAGTTATTTCGTAAATGTGTTCAATTCTGCGGGTATGTTCCTTGGCTCTGACACTTTCCGGCTGCAGGAGGCTACTTGAGTCAATCATTTAACCTCTTCAGGTTTCTCCCTTGTAAAGTGAGGATATTAAAACTGATATAACTTATGTTATAGGATTGTCAAAAGTCATAATGTACATGAAAGTGTTTGCAAACTGTAAAGCATTTTGTAAATGCAAATCATTACTAACCCTACTAATATATAGCTAGAACATGAGCACATTTTTTTGCTGGTCTAGGCAAGAAAGGTTCATTTAGGTAATCTAAGTATCAATTCACTTAGGTAGTCTTTAGTCTAAAATACTGAATACTTGAAATTTTCTGAAAAGAAAGATAAATCTTTTATGTGTGTAGGCATTTAATAACTATATGAAAACATTAATAGAAATATGTTTCTGTCTGGCTGGTGTGGCTCAGTGGTTGAGCATCGACCCATGCACTAGGTCCCTAGTTCGATTCCCGGTCCAGGCACATGCCCAGGTTGTGGGCCCGATCCCTAGTGGGGGGCATGCAGGAGGCGGCCAATCAATGTTTCTGCTCATCGATGTTTCTATCTCTCCCTCTCCCTTCTTCTCTGTCTAAAATCAATAAAGGAAAACAATGTATGTTTGAAAAAAAAAAAGAAATACGCTTCTGCAAGATTTTTGTGTGTGTGTGGATCATGTTAGGGTTTCTTTTTACAAATCGAAATAGAAAAAGAGACAGACTGCAGAAAGAGAAGAACAAAAAACAGAAAAGTGGTCCTGGCCGGTTTGGCCCAGTGGTTAGAGTGTCGGCCTGTGGACCAGAGAGTCCTGGGTTCAGTTCCCGCTGGGGGAGCGTACCTTGGTTGCAGTTTGTCCCAGGCCCCGGTTGGGGTCGTGTGGGTGGCAACCACTCTATGTGTCTCTCTCACGTGGATGTTTCTCTCTCTCTCTCATCCTCCCTCTATAAAACAAACAAAGCAAAACAAAACAAAAGAAAATGAAACAAATCAGAAAAGTGATCTTGATGATACCATTCCAGGCAGCTTTTTCAATTTCCCAAAGTCTAGGGTTAATGCAAGAGAGGTTCTTACACAGAATTTTATGGCCAGCTATTATGATTAAAGTGCTGAGTTCTTCTTTCTACAGTAGAAGCTTATTTCACTTTACATATTAATATGTTCCCTAAAAGCTGGGTGGGAATGAAATTTTTATAAATCAAATCATATGTTTCTCACACAATGTAACTAAAATTTTAGAGATGATTTATTTTTATTTCCAAATGAAGTTCAAATTGAGTTTCTCAATATGTCAGTTTTATGTTTCAAGGCCTGTTCTCGCTCCCACTGAAGTCAAAGATCTAGAAATACTCAAACTATTAAGAAAGCACTATTTAAAAGGGCCCTGAGAGGTAAATTCTTTTGAAACAATCGTAGCAAATTCCTAATTTATCTGTCTTGTGGCTAGTAGTTTTATTTACTTCGTTTTTTAAACTTAGTGACTATACGTGGTTTCAATTTTCAACACAAAGCTATTAGTAAAACAGCAAAATGGTTCTAAAATACTTTATGGATTTATAGAATTTTATTAGAGTTTGAGAGTCAGCCTTAGAGATGATTCATTCTAAAGGACTCATTTTGCAGATGAGGAAACAGGTTCAGAGAGGCTTAGCAAACTGCTAAGGTTGCTGCCAACTTTGAGATAGAATCAAGAGTAGACAGAATGGAGGTCCTCTATTCTCCCCAGTTCAAGGGTTTTTACTATACCAGGGGTCAACAATCTTTTGTCCTATAAAGGGCCAGAAAATAAATATTTTAGGGTTAAAGGCCATATGGTTTCTTTTGCAACTACTCAACTCTGCCATTATAGTGTGAAAGCAGCCATAGACAATACACACATGAATGTACATGCTATGTTTCAATAAAAATTTATTTGTAAAAATAGATGGTTGGGTGGGTCAGATTTGATCCCAGTCCATAGTTTGCTAACCCCTATTGCTATTAAAGAGTTCAGATCCTATACAAGAAAAATTTCAAACTGCCTACTTTATCATAAATCTTTGATAAAAAGTTTTCTATCTAATTTAGTAGGTATACTTTAGTATATTTTGAGAGTAAAACATATCAACTTGAGTTAAGAAGACTATTTACAATATGTTAAGACAACTAATATTAAAGGTGAAATTTTCTACTGAGCAAATTAACCTAGAAAGGAGGTAGATTCCAAACTCAAAGGAAAAGAGAACTACAAGTAATTAATTCTTAATGTAATCATAATTATAGTTTGTACGTCAAACATCAAAATGGAATGCTCCCAGTTAGATGATTCTCTGTCTCATTTAAGGAAGTGAAAACAAGAAAAAAGTTAGCTCAGACGTCTGCTAAGTTAAATGACTACATGCACCTAAGGAGGCAACAAAGTAAGCAAGGAACATGAGAGTTGAACACAGCTATATAGCTGACTTGAAGACAACAGCAGAAAACCAATATGTACTCTCTTTTTGGCGCCCGCTGAGTTCAGAAACCATGACGTTTGATAGGCATAAGGACAGGTACATTTTAACAAGTCTAAATATAAAACACAGAAGTATAACATGTAGAATAACTGGCTTTGTACTCACGTAGCAAAGAAACACACAGTCATACTGGGGGGGAAAGCCCACCACAGGGACATACAATTGTGAGTGTAACATAGAATTCAGGAGAGGGTCATCTTATTAGGATACAGAACACTGAACTCAAAGCCTTAAACTTGGAGGTGGGGAGGCTGAACAGAGGCTACCAAAAGGCTGAAAAGTCATTCCAAGATGGAAATGTCAAAGGATTTCAGGTGATTACATTTAAGAATTAGGTCCTGAAGGATGAGGTGAAGCCACTGATTAAATCAGAACTTTTGATCTCTCTCCACATAGTCACAGCCAAAGTTATTATTCAGTATAGTCAGCATAGCCTACATTCAAACATAAGCCAAACACAGGCCTGAAGCCTGGACTTTTATAACATTAAGTCAGTATATAAGACTAAAGAAAGCTATGCTTTTCTCTGAAGAAAATTAAAAATGAGACTGGTTAAGTGTAGTAGATATGACTATATTTAAGAACAACTGCCTGGCATAGATACCATGTTTAGGAATCCTTTCGGTCTGTGAAAAAGTACTTTATAAAGATGGTATTTTGATTTACATAATAACATCTTAAAAGCCATATTGCCCAACTTAGGAAGTAATAATTTTACATTTCAGATTCACAAATCAATAGAACTGCTTTGTAAAATCAATACAGGAGGA